AACTTTCTAAGAAGTCTAAACCCTCACAGCTGAAGACCATGAGGTGACTTTCTAAGAAGTCTAAACCCTCACAGCTGAAGACCATGAGGCAACTTTCTAAGAAGTCTAAACCCTCACAGCTGTAGACCATGAGGTGACTTTCTGAGAAGTCTAAACCCTCACAGCTGTAGACCATGAGGTAACTTTCTGAGCAGTCTAAACCCTCACAGCTGAAGACCATGAGGCAACTTTCTAAGAAGTCTAAACCCTCACAGCTGTAGACCATGAGGTGACTTTCTGAGAAGTCTAAACCCTCACAGCTGTAGACCATGAGGTAACTTTCTGAGCAGTCTAAACCCTCAAAGCTGAAGACCATGAGGCAACTTTCTAAGAAGTCTAAACCCTCACAGCTGAAGACCATGAGGCAACTTTCTAAGAAGTCTAAACCCTCACAGCTGAAGACCATGAGGCAAGTCTCTTTGGCATCTGGTTACCTTGCACCTATGCACAACTGTTGGTAGCCAATACAGTTTTCCAGTTCACTGCACAGTCACAGGGATCGGTTTAGGATCTTTACTCACGGGTCCCTAGGACAGCTGTCACCTTCCAGCTTTCTCCGGATAAAGTCCAGTGAGTCCTTCTCCAGTCTTTCTCCAGACCAGATCTCTGGTGGTGCGGCCCTGCAACCAGCTTCTAAGCAGATCCATCCAGGCCCTCAGCCCTGACACCACTGAGAACACAGCACAGTCCATGGACTGCCTAAGGGCAGCAGCCCCTCAGGCTTGGAACCCTCCTGGGAAGAGAGAGCCCATCTCTCCAAGCTTCAGACTATTTATCCCCTGTCCAGCCCCCTTCTGGACACTTCTCTGCAGGGATTGGCTTGAGCATGATAAATATTCACGCTGATTATATGAATCTCCCTCCCCAAAGCTCTGGAAGATTCTTCCAGAGTCAGGGGAAACAATCAAGCTCCCAACCTGTGAAACCCTGAGCAGGCCAGGACAAAGGATCACTGCTCCTTGAAAAAGGCTGGTTTAGGGGTATGTGTTATGATGCTTTTTTGAAGAACTTGTACCGGGTGGATGCAGGGTTATCATGGGATACTCCAGCAACGTTAAATTATAACTTATAGACACCTATCTTCCTCCTCAAGAATCTGAGCGCAGCCCTTGAAGCAGCAAATAATAGGCTGAGCTACACTGGGACATCATGGGCAATGCCCTCTTTAAGTAATGCTGACTCCTTGGATAATTGGATTCCTCCTTCCAATATCTTCCAGACACTTCTTGTGAGTTCTTTAGGCCAGATCCCCAAAAGTCCCTCAGTCATCTCCAGAAGAGTTCACCAGAATAGCCCCCCCCAGCTAGCCAGCTGGGACTTCGATAATCAGCAGAAAAGCACAGCTGGACTGCCCATAAGGGCAGAAGCCCTTCAGGCTGAAATTTCCTCCACCTGGACAAGAACGAATCTGCTCCACGTCTCAGAGTATTTATGCTCCTTCCCAGCTTCCATCTGGGCACCCCCTGTCCTTCCAGGGACTGGATAAATATTCAGTTGCTGATTTGACTCTCCCATCCCGCTACATTCTAGAACAGCAATGGGCAAACTACGGCCCGGCGGACCTTTTAATCCGGCCCGCGGAGCTAGGCTCCTTTCACAGTCCACCCTGAAGATTGGTTTAGCATGAAAATCTGTCTCCTATGAGGATCTGTCCCCCTCGACGTATCTGCGCATGTGCCGGAGATCGCCGATCGGCTGCTAATGCCTGAAACTGGCACATGCGCAGATACGTCGAGGGGGACAGATCCTCATAGGAGACAGATTTTCATGCTACACCTGAACGGCACGGGAACACGGCGAGAGGAACGCGCGGAGCAAAGGTAAGTGAATTGACACAGGGGGGACTTGGGGACTTAATATGGGGGATGAATTACTATAGAGGGGATGAATTACTATGGGGGATGAGTTACTATAGAGGGGATGAATTACTATAGGGGGGATGAATTACTATATGGGGGATTAATTACTATATGGTGGATGAATTACTATAGGGGGCATGAATTACTATGGGGGATGAATTACTATATGGGGGATGAATTACTATATGGGGGATGAATTACTATATGGGGGATGAATTACTATGGGGGGGATGAATTACTATATGGGGGATGAATTACTATATGGGGGATGAATTACTATGGGGGATGAATTACTATGGGGGGTGAATTACTATGGGGGGATGAATTACTATATGGGGGATGAATTACTATGGGGGATGAATTACTATATGGGGGATGAATTACTATGGGGATGAATTACTATATGGGGGATGAATTACTATATGGGGGATGAATTACTATGGGGGATGAATTACTATATGGGGGATGAATTACTATGGGGGATGAATTACTATATGGGGGATGAATTACTATGGGGGATGAATTACTATATGGGGGATGAATTACTATATGGGGGATGAATTACTATGCTTACTATGGGGGAATATTACTATACTTACTATGGATGACACATACACATCATTCATCTACTCTTGGTCCGGCCCCCGGGTCCAATATATGAACCCATTGCGGCCCTCAAGTCAAAAAGTTTGCCCACCCCTGTTCTAGAACCCTCCAGAAGACAGGGGGAAGCAGTCAAACCGACAGCCCAGAGTAATCATAAGCAGCTCAAATGATTACAGTATAGCAATAATTTACCCAACCTAAGACCTAACTAGGGGGGTGCTACACATCCTAGGCCTGAAACTTAGTTTGACAGAATAACTCCGGTCTAGAATATAAAAAATAGCTTTACTTCCTAACATTTTTTACATTTTGTGTTACAGCAGAAGGCCTCAAAGTGTCAGCTGTGAGCCACATTAACCTAGCAGGTCCTGCAATACACACTTTTAATGGGGAAATATACAGCGCCAATTATAACCGAACAGATGCCTACTGACAATGAATAATTAACTGTTTTATCAGTCAAAGCGGGGTGCGCTGCTGGTCATCTGATCCTGAGCTGTCGTGTTTCTGATCAGCACCGGAGGAGATTAACTGTCATGCCAAATTACATGGAGCAGATTAAAAGGCAACCCATTTGAAAAGTGCCAGCAGAACCGCGTGGCTCTGGAATTCATTGCTACGTTCCGTTGAGCTCAGCACCAAAGGCCTCTGTGGAATCCGTTGCGTCGTTTAGTTTTACACAAAACAGGGATTGTGGGGATAGTATTTACGAGATTACAATGACATATGGAATTAAGCCATTACATTCTTAGCGACAATGTGGCTTAATTAGCCGTGGAAAAAAAAAATGTCACATTTGCTGTTGACGACATGCGGAATTCAACATATCAAACTGTTTGAGAATGCGAGTATATCAAGGCAGTTTAACAGAACGACATTAAATTCGGTTTGGTGAAGTCTTCGTCTTATTATGTACACATGCTGTATGCAATCCATCCAAAAGTAAGGAACGTACGGTTGCAAGAAAAAGTATGTGAACCCCTTGGGATTACGTGGAGTTTTGCATGAATTGGGGAGAAAATGGACACATGAACATCAAGGCTTTTGGAGATACTTTTGTAACCCTTTCCAGCTTCATGCAAGTCAACAATTCTTGATCGTAGGTCTTCTGAGAGCTCTTTTCTGCGAGGCATGGTTCACATCAGACAGTGCTTCTTGAAACCAGTAAACCCAAAACAGGTGTGTGTTTTTTTAAGGGCAGGACAGCTGTCAGCAACACATCCAATATCATCACACCGATTGGAGTCAAGGTTGGCTCACTCCTGGCTCCAATTAGCTCTGGGAGAAGTCATTATGCTAGGGCCTCACATACTTTTTCCTCCCTGCACTGTGAATGTTTACATGTTATGTGCAATTAAACCATGGCAACATCTAATGTTTGTGTAGTATTATGTTCAACAGACTGTGTTCTTCTATTGTTGTGACTTAGATGACGTTCAGAGCACATTTTATGCCCAATTCATGCAAAACTCCACGTAATCCCAAGGGGTTCACATACTTTTTCTTGCAACTGTATCTCAAGCTGAAAGCTGTAGTGGTCAGAGTCTTCTCCCCTAAGGGTGCTCTTATTGGCATGGTGGACACAAGTGTCCTACTGTTGTGTACATTGAATTGTTGGTACGACCCTGTTGCCACGCCATTCATGTCAACAACAATCATATCATAAGATTTTAGAAGCCTCCGTTGTGTCGACATCTAAATCCCAAGAATGCTGCTAGGTGCCGCCATTTTGAATGTGAAGTCATCAACCCGAGCAGATTCAGAGCTGTCACTCAAGTGACACTCTATAGCAACCATTCTCAACCAGGGTTCCATGAAACCCTACGGCTCCTCCATAAGTTTGCTAGGGGTTCCTTGAGCTGTGGCTGATTGGCCTCTCTTTTGATGGAGCATAAATAATTATGGGGCCAATGCCACTGATAAAGTCAGCAGGATTACACCAATTATCTTTTGGCTATCTGTAAGAATGGCATACTAATCACCACTGTAAAGAGGGATTTCTTCCCACTGACCACCAATGTAAGGGACATTCTTCCCACTGACCACCAATGTAAGGGACATTCTTCTCACTGACCACCATTGTAAGGGACATTCTTCCCACTGACCACCAATGTAAGGGACATTCTTCCTACTGACCACCAATGTAAGGGACATTCTTCCCACTGACCCCCAATGTAAGGGACATTCTTCTCACTGACCACCATTGTAAGGGACATTTTTTCCACTGACCCCCAATGTAAGGGACATTCTTCCCACTGATCCCCAATGTAAGGGACATTCTTCCCACTGACACCAATGTAAGGGACATTCTTCCCACTGACCACCAACGTAAGGGACATTCTTCCCACTGACCTCCGATGTAAAGGTTATTCTTCCCACTGACCCCCAATGTAAGGGACATTCTACTCACTGACCACCAATGTACGGGGCATTGTTCCCACTGCCCACCAATTTAAGGATAATTTTTCCCACTGACCACCAATGTAAGGGACAGTCTTCTCACTGACCACCTATGTATGGGACATTCTTCCCACTGATCACCAATGTACGGGACATTCTTCCCACTGATCACCAATGTAAGGGACATTCTTCCCACTGACCACCAATGTATGGGGCATTGTTCCCACTGATCACCAATGTAAGGGACATTCTTCCCACTGACCCCCAATGTAAGAGACATTCTTCCCACTGATCACCAATGTAAGGGACATTCTTCCCACTGACCCCCAATGTAAGGGACATTTTTCCCACTGACCTCCAATGTAAAGGTTATTCTTCCCACTGACCCCCAATGTAAGGGACATTCTACTCACTGACCACCAATGTACGGGGCACTGTTCCCACTGACCACCAATTTAAGGATAATTTTTCCCATTGACCACCAATGTAAAGGACATTCTTCCCACTGACCACTAATGTAAGGGACATTCTTCCCACTGATGTAAGGGACATTCTTCCCACTGACCCCCCAATGTAAGGGACATTCTTCCCACTGACCCCCAATGTAAGGGACATTCTTCCCACTGACCCCAATGTAAGGGACATTCTTCCCACTGACCCCCAATGTAAGGGACATTCTTCCCACTGACCCCCAATGTAAGGGACATTCTTCCCACTGACCCCCAATGTAAGGGACATTCTTCCCACTGACCACCAATGTAAGGGACATTCTTCCCACTGATCACCAATGTAAGGGACATTCTACTCACTGACCACCAATGTACGGGGCACATTCCACTGCCCCACCAATTAAGGATAATTTTTCCCATTGACCACCAATGTAAAGGACATTCTTCCCACTGACCACTAATGTAAGGGACATTCTTCCACTGATCACCATGTAAGGGACATTCTTCCCACTGACCCCCAATGTAAGGGACATTCTTCCACTGACCCCAATGTAAGGGACATTCTTCCCACTGACCCCCAATGTAAGGGACATTCTTCCCACTGACCCCAATGTAAGGGACATTCTTCCCACTGACCCCCAATGTAAGGGACATTCTTCCCACTGACCACCAATGTAAGGGACATTCTTCCCACTGACCACCAATGTAAGGGACATTCTTCCCACTGACCACCAATGTAAGGGACATTTATTCCACTGACCTCCAATGAATTGGTTTTACCACTGTTACCTGAAAACGAATCCTTCCAGCGCAGCGCTGTCATGGCTCAGTGCATGGACACGAGAGTTTCAGCCGTTGTACGGCTCTCTCAAAGGACGACATGCCATCCACTGTGAGCGCAGTGCGCAGTGTGATGTCACCGGCGCTTCTACAGTAAATATCTCCTAAACTGTGCACATTTAGGAGATATTTACAGTACTTATAGGTGAGCCTTATTAAAGACTTACCTGTAGGTAAAAGATAGAAAATTGGGGTTAGTTCCACTTTCATGTAAGATTTTATGTAAGTGAGGGAAGGGGCAGAGGAGCTGGGGCAGCACAGACAGTAATTAGACACTCCCAGAAGAGGAGAGGGCTACGACGTGCAAAAAGGGAGAGGACTTTGCTAGGAAATTGACTTTACCAAAACAGTCAAATTTGTTAGTAAGTTCAGAGGCACATTACCAAAAAATGGTTTATGAAAAGAAAAAATGCTGCAAAGTTAATATTTAAAATATTGGATTTGCCTCCAACTTTTAAGGTTGCTGGCAAGGTTTCTCTAAAGGTTCCAGGTAAATTGAGGGGTACCAATCAGTTTTCTTGCTCTGGCTTGCAGTTGGGCCGTTGAATCTCTTGTGCCTCAGCAGTGCATCTGACATTGAGGGCTAGTAAGGCGAAAGGGGTAGGAAGGGGAACTTTGGGACCAAAGTCATTATTCACATAATCAGATTCCCCAGGATTCAAGATTGTACTGCTGATCTACTGCGATTTTCCCACACAACCAACTCTAGGGTTTACAGAGAATGGTCCAAAAAAGAGAAAATATCCAGTGAGCGGCAGTTGTGTGGAGAAAACTGCCTTGCTGATGTCAGAGGTCAGAGGAGAATGGGCAGACTGGTTGGAGATGATAGAAAGGCAACAGTAACTCCAATAACCCCTCGTTACAACCAATGTATGCAGAATACCATCTCTGAATGCATAACACGTCCAACCTTGAAGCAGATGGGCTACAGCAGAAGAAGACCACACCGGGTGCCACTCCTGTCAGCTAAGAACAGGAAATGGAGGCTACAATTCGCACAATTGGACGTTGCCTGGTCTGATGAGTCTGGATTTCAGCTCTAACATTCAGTTGGTAGGGTCAGAATTTGGCATAAACTACATGAAAGCATAGATCCATCCTGCCTTGTATCCATGGTTCAGGCTGGTGGTGGTGGTGTCATGGTGTGGTGGATCCATCCTGCCTTGTATCAGCGGTTCAGGCTTGTGGTGCTGGTGTCATGGTGTGGGGGATCCATCCTGCCTTGTATCAATGGTTCAGGCTGGTGGTGGTGGTGTCATGGTGGGGGGATCCATCCTGCCTTGTATCAGCGGTTCAGGCTGGTGGTGGTGTCATGGTGTGGGGGATCCATCCTGCCTTGTATCAGCGGTTCAGGCTGGTGGTGTCATGGTGTGGTGCATCCATCCTGCCTTGTATCAACGGTTCAGGCTGGTGGTGGTGGTGTCATGGTGTGGGGATCCATGGTGTATCAGGGTTCTGGCTCCCATCCTGCCTTGTATCAACGGTTCAGGATTGTGGTGGTGTCATGCTGTGAGGGATCCATCCTGCCTTGTATCAACGGTTCAGGCTTGTGGTGGTGGTGTCATGATGTGGGAGATCCATCGTGCCTTTTATCGACGGCTCAGGCTGGTGGTGGTATCATGGTGTGGGGGATCCATCCTGCCTTGTATCAACGGTTCAGGCTGGTGGTGGTGGTGTCATGGTGTGGGGGATCCATCCTGCCTTCTATCAACGGTTCAGGCTGGTGGTGGTGTCATGGTGTGGTGGATCCATCCTGCCTTCTATCAACGGTTCAGGCTGGTGGTGGTGGTGTCATGGTGTGGGAGATCCATCCATCGATGGTTCAGGCTGCCTTGAATCAATCAGTATCAGGTTGGTGGTGGTGGTGTCATGGTGTGGGGGATCCATCCTGCCTTGTATCAAGGGTTCAGGCTTGTGGTGGTGGTGTCATGGTGTGGGGGATCCATCCTGCCTTGTATCAAGGGTTCATGGATGTGCACCCGACAAGTCTGTAGCAACTGCGTGATGCCATCATGTCCATATAGGCCAAAGTCTCTGAGGAATGTTTCCAACACCTTGTTGAATCTTTGCCATGAAGAATGAAGGCAGTTCTGAAGGCAAAAGGGGGTCCAACCCAATATTAGCAAGGTGGACCTAATAAAGTGGCCGGAGAGTGTATATATAGCTAAAGTGTTTTAGAGTTCCAAGAGATAAATTAAGCTAATTGTACTTTTTATCATTGCACAATTCTGTAACACTTTGAGGAGACAGCGTGATGACAGCGTGATGACAGAGTGATGACAGAGTGATGACAGCGTGATGACAGAGTGATGACAGCGTGATGTCTTTATGTGTGAGGATGCCCCCTCTTTGTCAAATAAGTAGGTTGGAGATGGGTCGCTGACCAAAGTAGAGAAGTAAATGAGGTCAATAACCCACTGTGTGTTTGACTGTTTGCCTGGAGTTTTGCTTTAACAGTTGGCCATTGGGAAATTTAGGAAAGTCTTTATTTAGGCTACAACTCTTCTAGAAATAAGCTGACCGTATATCAGATACTTCTTCCAATATTGGATGCCAACACTTGTATCTTGCACGTCTTCTTGTTTCGCAGCTGCTTGCATTGTTCCTGGTGCCTTCATTGTCTTCTTCTCAGTTCATGTTGATGATTAACACATGAATGTATGAAGCTTTTCACTGGCAAACAATAAGGACAGATCCAGCTGTGAAACAATTTTATCCCTTTTTGTTTCTGTCTTACACTAAGTAACGCAAGAAAAACATCTGTTCCCCAGCTGAAATGTCGCCTTTGGGACCATTGGGTTGTGTTGCACAGACAATACAGGAGCATTAGGTTGTCGTGCTGAACCTGTCACCTGCATAGCTGCACCTTGATAGTCAATGGCTCTGCCCTTCCGTCAACCAGACTTTCACGGCAAAGAAATGCCTGTAGCAAAAAAGAAAGAAGAAATGGCGCAGGGCATACATGACTAGGCCCAGAGTGGGGAAGGAGGAACAGAAAGGGTTAAGGCAGATCCAAGGGGTTTGTTTTGTTAGTGGGGGTATTTGGTTGGTGGAAGGTTGAGAGTAGGTGGGGTTTCCTGCACCTTAGGGTGGAGGGTTTCAGTGAGGGGGCGTCAGTTGAGCTGGAAGTCAGGAGTGAGAGCTTCCCTCCCGCCCTCCCTGTTTTTGGTGAGTATTGGGTCCCTCCAGGTAAAGGGGGGTTATGTTGGTTCCTGGACGGTTGTTGGTCTTTGGAGGCGGTTCTTATCTTGGAAGGTAAAAAACAATGGTGTGGGACCCATCGTGGTATGGGGGCCCGGGGACATTCCCAGTTAACCAAGGTTTAACTGGAAGGTGGTGGTTCTGCACTGCGGACGGTATGGTTGTCTCCGAGCTGGTTGGATGCGGCTGGAGGCCTTGTGTATATGGTTGTCCGCAGGTGCATTTCGGATTGTTTGGGGGGGCCTTCGAAGATCAACAACAATTCTTTGGGTTTCTGTTATAAGGAATGGTTGTTGTATTTAAATTTGTGTTGTTAATAAAAGGCCATGTTGGCCATTTACTCCAAAATTGGTGTCATGTGTTTTCTAAGTATAATTGGTTAAGGGGAAAGGGGGGTTTTGTACGGAACGGTCATGGTGGTAATGGGGAGTGGACAAACCTATCTCTGGTGCAATAGTCATGTTCACAGTCTAAAACAAACAGGTTCAGGGCTACTGCCATGAGAAAAAGAAGACATCGTTTTCTTCTGGAATTCCCTTGGGATTTGGGAACAGGAGCGGCAGTTGTACACTTTTCCTGCAGTGACATTTGCTGGTGGATGAGCCATCTATTTGGAAACCTGAAAAGAAATACTTCTTCAGTAGCAAACGGGGATTGCATAAAGAATTTGTGAGCCAAAGACACATTTTAATGGAAGTATGGATGCCTTCAAAGGTCAACATCAGCCAAAAAGGATTCCCTAACTGAAGTTGTGCTTTAGGGCTCTCAGCTACTTTCCCAAGCTTGGGTTCAGCCCCCACGCACCAATCTGTTTAGGCTTTCTGGGCCTAGAGCAGCATTAGGATTAGTGTTCTGTACTGTCTGTGACCCCTCCCTCGTGGCTCTTTCTATGTTTCACCAATCCCTACTATAGCTACAAGATCTGTCCTTCTGCTGTCCTTACCAAAGAGGAACCTAACATCTTGGGCTAAATATTCTTTTAATATTTTACTAGGGATTAGTGATGTCATCATAGCACATAGCCACACCACGACAGGCCACATATTGGGGCGATGAACAAAAAAAGCTTCTTCTGTTTGGTCCACGTGTTACTCCATGTCTTTGTGACCTATTCAGTTCTTAGTAAATTGCCATGTTGCATATTTGTAGGAAGGTGAAGTCTGTACTGCAGGTGGTACTCAACTGCAGCGGCAATGCAGATGGGAGAGGAAGTTGAGAGAAATGGGTTTCTCTATGATTTTCTCAGTCACACAGTACAGTGATCCGATTGGATACTGATGTCTCATGTGGCCCTGGTGGCCATCTTGGCTCAGGCAGAGTCTATTTAAGACTTTGACACTTGGATTTGGCACGCTTTATGCGAGTGGCTAGTGTAGGAACAGGTTCACTGTCTGTCACGGACAGTGCTAGTAATAAGATAAGGTTCTGGTGGAGTAGAGAGATCAGGGACTACGTCTACTGTAGCACTACCCCCTTAGGAGTCACTGAGGTTTTGGGTCCCCCTATAGTTCTGCACAGCCAGGCAACAATTTATTTCACTCAGACTTGCATCCAGAGGACTGTGAACAGTCTTTGAGCTTGTTTTTTTGGATTTTATTAGGGGATTGAACTTGGATGGGGTAAAGGGCATATGGGATTCCCAAG